TCACCTTAAAGCTGTGAAAATTTGGTGTTAATCCGACGACAATAAGTATACGTTATTTTTTGTTTAAAGACCTTGTATTTTGAAAAACATAAACTCCTAGAAAACGTCCATGAAGTAACAGCAAAGATTTTCAAGCTTGTTAATCGGCACAATCAATTTGTTTTCCCATCAAGGTCTGTTTTACCATGTGTAGGGACATCCAAATGTGTAAGGCTATTGGAAACCAAAAAAATAAAGGAATGGGATAGCTATAATTGGATAAATTCGGCATATGAAAACACCAAAATCAATGATTTTTTTTCAGTGGCTGTGTGACCTTGTGTCTGACACATTCATATGCAAATGACTAATCTGTGAAACAAACAGGGGCGGAGACAAACCACTCAAATGTTTGGAAACACTCATTGTGTGTCAGATAGCTACTGATAACACATCCTAACATTGCTTTGTCTTGAGTTTATCTTTGAAACTTATAGGCACACAGATTAAACCTGTGTTGTTGATTTTGGAAAACACTACTGAGGCTGCCTTGCTTCCCGTCAGAAAATCTATATTTTAACCAACTTACATGACATTCTATGTTATATTGACTTTATCATATGAAAGTTTATGGTGCATTTCATCAATTAATAAATAAATGTGAAAATCGTAATTTTCAACACAAATAATAGTCTCGCTACCTTAAGTCAGTGCCATAAATATATGAGTGACACGTGTGTAGCTATAATGCAGTGGTCCTAATTAAACTAAAAACTTGTAGTACATTGTACATGTATAAATAAACTGTACAGGTTCATTAAATGTTATTTCTGATTTCAGGAGGCAGAGAAGGCCGCCAAAAAGAAATTGACTGTGTTTCTCAATGAAATGCTGAAAGTGGGCACAGTCAGAGTAAGTATGGAATGTAGTTACTCTATTAATAGCGAATAATATTAGACTAAATAACAAAAATATTTGCTTCTGGCTCCAAGATAGTCCAAGAAATTTCATTTTTACAGTATTTTGACAGAAACCAGAAAAAAATAGTCCTGAGTGGCCCTTTTTGAACAGATGTGCACATTAAAAAAAATCATTTTTGTTGGCTTTACGTAAATGAGAGAAGTATGTCTATGGTCAAACTAGTGAATAATAAATGAGAGAAGTATGTCTATGGTCAAACTAGTGAATAATAAATGAGAGAAGTATGTCTATGGTGAAACTAGTGAATAATAAATGAGAGAAGTATGTCTATGGGAAACTAGTGAATAATAAATGAGAGAAGTATGTCTATGGAAACTAGTGAATAATAAATGAGAGAAGTATGTCTATGGAAACTAGTGAATAATAAATGAGAGAAGTATGTCTATGGGAAACTAGTGAATAATAAATGAGAGAAGTATGTCTATGGTCAAACTAGTGAATAATAAATGAGAGAAGTATGTCTATGGTCAAACTAGTGAATAATAAATGAGAGAAGTATGTCTATGGTCGAAACTAGTGAATAATAAATGAGAGAAGTATGTCTATGGTGAAACTAGTGAATAATAAATGAGAGAAGTATGTCTATGGTGAAACTAGTGAATAATAAATGAGAGAAGTATGTCTATGGTCAAACTAGTGAATAATAAATGAGAGAAGTATGTCTATGGTCAAACTAGTGAATAATAAATGAGAGAAGTATGTCTATGGTCAAACTAGTGAATAATAAATGAGAGAAGTATGTCTATGGTCAAACTAGTGAATAATAAATGAGAGAAGTATGTCTATGGTCAAACTAGTGAATAATAAATGAGAGAAGTATGTCTATGGTGAAACTAGTGAATAATAAATGAGAGAAGTATGTCTATGGTGAAACTAGTGAATAATAAATGAGAGAAGTATGTCTATGGTCAAACTAGTG